GGATAACATTCACAGCCCCGGACCCAGCCCGTCCCCGTATCTCCCCGTAGTGCTATTATGAGTATGCCCCTGTGTATATATATATGTGTGTTTAGGGTTTGTTGACACAATCACCACACAAACAAACACAACGAGGCTGTTCTTTCTCTCACTCTCTCACTCTCACCGCCGTTCTCTCTACTCCCTCAGACCACGTCTCTCATCTCTCTCTCCCTCTCCCTCTCTAAACAGATCCGTCGATCCTGCCTCTGTCATCATCATATAGATCAGATCTGAACAGATCCGCCGATCCTCCACCACCACTGCCTTCGTCGCCGCCTGTGTGCCGGCCTTCGTTGTCCGGCGATCCTCCACCACCACCGCCTCTGTCCGACCTCTTCGCAACACCGCCTCTGTCCGGTGATCTGCAGATCTGAACATTTTCGCTACACCGCCTCTGTCTGGGTTACATTCTTCTGTGCTATTTGTTCTCTAAATGAATTGACTTTTTTTTATCAACTCAAAGTCAATCTTTGGTAACATGTTTTCATATATAACCATTTTGTTGTAGCAGATCATAGAGAGAGACATACCAATGGTTGAATTCATGTCTTCAAAAGAGTTTGAATCATCAAGTTCTTCAAGGGATAGAAAGCGTCGCTATAGGCATTCACCTTACCAGACTCAAATGCTTGAAACGTATGGCCAAAGTTCATTTTTTTTTTTTGGGTCCGCTGTATGTGTATATGACTTTATAGATATAGCGTTTTATAACCTGTTTATTTATTTATTTTTTTCATCTATCAGTTGATCATTCAAATTCTCTCTACGAACTTTTCTTTGCTTGAATTCATGTTGATTTATTACATTGTATCTGATGAATTTTGAACTACTGCAACACATCTTTGTTATCCTGAATACAACAGCTTGAAATTATTTTTGTTGTTGTTTTTGTGTTAAAAATAAATAAAAATGAATAGGTCGGGGATTTTCGGGGTCAGGAAAACCCGATCCTCAATCGGGGGCAGGGTCGGGGGGCCGATGGGGTCCCCGTCGGAGATCGGGGACGGGAAATTTCTCACTATCGGGGATCGAGGACGGGGAGTGTGGTCTCCGGTCCCGCCCCGCTCCGTTGCTATTCCTAGTAATATGGGTGAACAACTCAGTATTTATTACAATTAAAAACAAAAGTAAAATTTTAAAAAAATTATCTAGATGACTCTACCTAATCCCGCTTTTTTGTTTTCTATAAGGATAATTTTATGTATTACAAAAATTTTTTAAAAATTATGGCCACAACTTAGACTTGTCGTGTCAAAATGACCACCTGATATTATTTTGGTAAATAATAGTACATTAAAGAATTGATTGATTGTGAACCAAAAAAATGCAAGTGACTTTTCTTCTTTTCAAAGAAAGGGAAAGTCTGAAGCATTTACCACGAAATTTTCTTTCCAAACTTTCTTGGAAAATGGATCAGGTTAGCGTCACCAACTAATTTTATTTAAAAAAAAAAAAAAAAGATTTTTGCTTTCTTAAGACTCACGGATATATCTTAATAGTTTGACTTATTATTTTCATTAAATAATATTAAAAAAATTATTAATTGTTAATTTTTAATACGATAATGCTACGTAGCTCAAATTTTGTGGCTCAAAAGTGGCTCAAATGGCCAAAACGACGTCGTTTTGAGTACAGAACAACATAAAAATGGCTAAAACGACGTCGTTTTGGCCATTTGAGCCACTTTTAAACCACAAAATTTGAGCTACGAGACATTTTCCTTTTTAATAATAGTTTAAAAAATGTATTACAAAAAATGTCACTAAATTATAAATTTTACCGATAATTTTAAAAAATTATCACAAAAAATGTCACTAATATTTAACTTACAAGACAGTTCAAAAAATGTGTCACATAAAAAGCCATTGATTATAAGTATTAGCGACAATTTATAAAAACTGTGACCAAAAAAATCGTTAATTATCAATTTTTAACGACATATGTAAAAAAATTGTAAGAAAAAATTATTTTTAGTGACGATTTTATTATGATTTATTTTTAATAAAACTTTGTGAGAATTAAGTCCAATTATTAAGACCTATTGGTAGTTTGCCTTTTTTCGCTTAACTGTATCCTCTAAGAAAATAAGGTACACCATATACATCTTATAATTAAAAATATATATAATTTTAATTTTTTGAGTCATAACTAAAAAAATTGTCATAATTAAACATAACATAAAACATAATTAAATAACTTATATGTCATAACTAAAAAAATGACATAATTAAAAATACATATAATACACCCTTTTTAAAAATGTATATATTAGAATTTCCTTATCCTCTATACTATTCTTAAATATATTTTTGTCCCAAATTCACTAGTTATTACTAATTTTTATCCCAAATTCCCTAAAATTGTGTTTAGTTTGAAAATTTGAAAGAAAAAAAATAAGTAAAATATAAATAAAATATACCTATATTTTATCTAATTTCAAACAACTTTGTTATTTCTCTTTCAAATCTCTTCACAAATCTTCCAATTAAATACAACCTCAATATCACAAAATTAGAGCCAGGGTGATAAATCATGAAATGAGGATTATCAACCCTTGGTTTGATTATAATATAGTTTTGGATATATATATATATATATTTTAATGATGCATTTTTTTTTTATCAATCGATACAAGAGTAATTACAAATACAAAAAATATTACATTAAATAAATCACTATTACCAAGCCTAATAGTTACGAATTGTTAAATACAACTCTGTAATGAGAAAGAAAAAAATATTATTACAAAGAATATCAAACTCCTCTTTATAATAGTTGAATTCGAAATCTCACACCATAAGTGACGTTATACAACCACTAGGCCAAAGATCCTCATTCCGTGATGCAATTCAAGCGGACCTAACTCACAATAACCTTAATCTAACTCACAAAATTTTAAGATTAAACAATATAATTTTAAATTTAGTTTGAATTTAACCAAGGTGTTCCGGATAGGTGATTTATTTGTATTGATTGTTAGATTTGTAAATATATAATTGTTCAATTTGATATAATTATTTTCATATTTATAGTTAAACTCCTATCACTTGATATAAAAATTAAAAAACAAAAAACAAAACAAAACCATTACAAACCTTGAAACTCTTTTCATACATAAATTTAAACAAAGAGTAAAGATTGTTGATGATATTTCCGGGGCCGGCTAGTAATAAAAGTAATATATTTACAATGTTTGGTTTTTTTTTTTTAAATAAAAAAGAAAAAGAAAAAAAGTCAGCATACAAACAAGTGAAAACAAACAGAAGAATTGGAGGAAAGGGAACTAACGGAAAATATTACCAATTTATTTGGGAGAAAAATATTTTCACAGCCACCATCACCTGGCGACGCCAACTCAACTCACTGATATGGATTCAGACAAAGATGATGGAAACTAATGCAACATGAAAGTACACTCAATAATAAATTAACTAAACTCGAAGCACCATCAAAACAGAGTTATATAATTTTACCTAAGATTACCTTTCCTTTCATTGCTCTCTACAGGATCGATATTGTGTAGTTCAATTGGTTAAACGCTCAACAATTAACCAGACGTCCTGGGTTCAATTCTTACTGCAAAGTATACCTTATATACACTTACGGCTCTTTTGTTTTCAGAAATAAATAAATTGAGTGACATTGTTAGTGAGAAAATTATTAATGAAAAGACTAACAAAAATTATAAGATGAATTACACTAATGGTCCTTATAATTTGGAACTTGTATCATTTTGATCTCGGACTTTTCAATTGTGACACATTTGACCTTGAATTTTTAATTTTATTCCAAATAAAGACAATTGTAGATACTATGGGATTTTTCAAGAACAAAATTGTCAATTTGATAAAATATAAATTAATTTGACAAAAATAAATCTCACAAAATTATTTTTGAATTTTTAAAAATTATTTCTAACTACTAAAGATAAAATTATATAAATTTGATAAATTTTTTAGATATTTATTTATTTTTTTACCAAATTAATTTTTATTATGTATTTAGATGATGATCATGTAAAATTAATTTTTAAAAATTAATCATGTAATTTTTATTAATTTTTATCAATTTTACATAATTTTATTTTTGGTGAGTAAAAATAATTTTTAAAAAATTTAACAATATTTTTTTGACATTTATTTTTGTCAAATTAATTTATATTTTATCAAATTAACGATTTTACTCTTGAAATTAAACAATTGTATATTCAATTGTCCTTATTTGAAATAAGATTCAAAATTTAAGATTCAATGCATTATAATTGAAAAATCAAGGACTAAAGTGACACAAGACCCAAATTATAAAAACTATTAGTGTAATTTGCCCAAAATTATATTTGTTTGATAACCAGTAAACTAACAATAGTTCCAGCTTGTTTTGAGAGATAGAGATGAAATTAACTATATAAAATTGCACAAATACCCTTATTGCAGTACTATCAAACTTAGACTTATACCAATTAATAAATGCATTATATATTTTAATATTAAAAAAATATTTTATAAATATTAAAATTATATTTTATAAATATATATATTTTTGGCACTATTTCATTTTTTTAATATAATTTTTTTTTTTGTATAAATATCATTATACTATTATATTTTTATATTAAAAATTATTTTGATATAAAGAATGGTGGAATAAAAAATGATGAATTAATTAAAAAATGATAGAAAAAAAACTATACTAATCAAGTAGAATAAATAAATTAAGATAATTCCAAGACATTGTTTTTCTAATATTATCTCCCATAAGGAATTACTAATCCCAACCACAAAAGCCAATCATAATCCCAAGATATTATGAATCCATTTCCTATTTTACAAACACTATTAATGAATCCTACATCCATCCTAATTCAATGCCATCTCCTATAACCCAAAACAAACAGACCCCACAGAGGAACGCATCTTCAAAACACAACAAATTCCTCAATTCTAACGGCAAATTCATAATGCAATAAAAATGGCATGAAACCGCATTTTCTAATTTAAAGAATTTCCAAGCTGGAACTGAAAATAAGCAGATGTATGGCAGATTATGAGGGGAACAACGATCTAATCAGATAATGTTACATCCCATATAACATAAACTAAACGTATTAATACAACATAAAAGGCACTTTGATACTGGCCTGAAGCTGCAGCTTGTAATTTGAAGACTTTCTAGGGCAGAAGGAATAATAAGCTCAGGAAATTTCTCAATATAATGTTAAAAGACAGGTATAGCAGATTAAGAGGGGGACTCAAGATCCAAGCAGCTTCTTCGATCTGGCGTATCCAAAAATAAGCACAAAAGCAAATACAGAGGAACCCATACAAACTCCATAGAAATAGCCGAACACCCCATTAGTATTGGATATTGGAGAAGGGAGATTCATACCAAATATCCCAGAAATCATATTACCAACAGAAATAGCTAATGATGCGATGGACAATGTCAACTGGAGTTGAATAAGTTCATTTCGCTGATTGTCGAGTTGGATATTGACATAATCCTCTGTATCATCAATATACTCACGAACCTGCAATTACATTGAGAAATTTTTTTCATAATACAAAAAAGAAAATGAATGTAATCATTATTCTCATGCGATCAATGCATTATACCAAATACACATCAATAGATTCAGTGACAAGAAAGATTACAAGATACCAAACTAAGCAAACCACCCCGCATGCCTCCTGATCTACAAACCCGTGCCTATACCTAACTAGAACCCTAAAAAACCTATCAACAATTTTCAATGGTATTCTTCCATCTCAAAATATGAAACTAAATACAGACTATGTTTGGATGGGGCAAGAATGGAGAGGCAGAATGAAAATCTAAATGAAGTAGCCTTCATAACATTGCTTGGGTGCATCCAAGAAGTCGAATGTGATCCCAGCTACCTTTCTGAAGGCAGAATGAGATTTACATACTAAGTGGGACTCAATGATTTTTTTCTACGAACTGTCATTGTCCAATTAGGATCTATCTTACCAATGGTCTTGAAGGCCAGGTGGATCCAGTTAACCTCCTGACCTCAATATTAGAGGCTCAAGTGTCCACGTTGTCTTGCCTAGCAAAAACTTGAAAGATTAATACTGAAGTGACGCATTGAGCCTCAATATTAGAGGCACAAGTGACGCATTGCGCCTACCTCCGAGTGTTTCAAAAAATGAGCAAGGGGCGCCTGGGTGCGGTGAAAAATAGACAAGGGTCTCCGCGTTTTCTAGACGAGCGCGGATAAAGAAGCCAATCCAAAATTATAGGTTTAGGGTAACCACGTAGAATATAAGAACTTTAACTGGTAAGACTGTGGAATTGGTAAATGTCATGATTAGGAGGAGAGTTAGTATAGCACAAGTATAAGAAACTAAGTGGACGGGTGAAAAACTTAGAAAATAGAGGATACCGGTTTTAAGTTATATTATAGTGGTAAGGATAGACACATGAATAGGGTAAGAATAATAGTTGCCAAGGGTCTTGTAGAAAATGTAATTACAGTCATTAGAAAAGTGATAGGATTTTGTTAGTTAAACTAGTTATTTGAGAGAATATAGTGAACGTTATTAGTGCATACGCCCCTCAAATAGGATTAAATGATCAAACTAAGATTAAATGATCAAACTAAGAGAGTTTTTCGGGAACAATGAATGAAGTATTATAGGAGATACCCGTAGGAGAGAACCAGTTATAGGTGGTGATTTCAATGGCCATGCAGAGTAGATAAACTAGGTTATGAGAGAGTGCATGGTGGGTATGGTTTTGGTGATAGAAATGAGACTAGAGAGAATATTTTAGATTTTGTGTTGGCTTCTGGCCTAGTAGTGCCTAATACTATGTATAATAAGATATGAGCATTTGGTAACCTTCAAGAGTGGGTCAATTAGGAGCCAAATATAGCAAGAAAAATTGATATAGAGAGAAATTGTATGTATTATGATTGATGTTATTGATATATTATTGATATAAATTACAGATGGTGAGGTACTCTTTATATAGGAGATGTAGTAGGTGAAGTGAAGTGGTAGGTGTAGTAGGTGATCGTAGTAGGTGGTGGTAGGTGTAGTAGGTGATGGTAAGATGGTAAGTGTAGTAGGTGTGGTAGTAGGTGTGGTAGATTTTAACAGCCCCCGCAAACTCAAGGGGGATAGGAACTAACCAACTTGAGTTTGGAGAGAGTAACAAAACAAGAAAATAGACGAATACATAAAATAAAAGAGGATAGGAGACACTGTCATGGGTCGCTGTCCCAGACCGTTGTAAAAGACTGTACGGTTATGGCAGACCGATGTAGACGCAGTTTTATGGGGTCATGTCGGACCGTTGTAGCAGACAATGTTGTGACAGTTGTTGTTTGGACAGGTTTACGGGTCTTGCTGGACCCTTGTAGAAAACTAACCGGAATCAATGTCGGGACAGTTTACAGAGTCTTGTCGGACCCATGAAGGAGCTAACCGGAATCAATGTCGGGACAGTTTACAGAGTCTTGTCAGACCCTTAAAAAGTCCGCACCCTCAAAAGGTGTGGCCTAATCTGTCAAAAGGCGTGCCATTCAAAAGGGCGTGCCCATTCCATAAAAAGGTATGCCGGACATGATGGCGAGACGCCGTGACCATCTTGTTTGCGCGCCCAGGCTGTCGTTTGGCATCAAGTGCGCGCGATGCGCGGATCGGCCCTGGCTATTTAAACCAAGGGTGAGGCGGAGGCTGTGCATAACCAGTCTTGAAACCTCTGAAACCAACCCGTCTCTGAAAAACGCTGCCTCTTCGGAGAGAGAAAACTTTGGAACCACTTTGTAAACCAGAAAATGGCTTTCGTCTTCCCGCGGTCTGCTCACCCTCTTTCCCGACCTCAACGAGTCAAACAAGAGAAGATAACTGGTGCGGTGGCACTGGAACCTCAACCAAGTGCCCCGGGAGTTGCTCCGTTGAACTTTCCGATGCGGTCAGTGGAGCAAAGAATGTAGTTGCAGTCGGATGTGGAGCCAATAGATATAATTGAAGTCATGTGTGGAAACCATGACTGCGGTTAAAAACTTGTCGAAACGGCTGCAGAGTAGGACAAATGAGGTGCAGCAGTTAAACTCCCAGCTGCTCTGCTCCAACGCATGTATAAGGATGCGCGAGCAGAGATAAGTTGCTAAAGACGGAAAACAAGGAGCTGAAGCGGAAGGCCACCGTGATGTTTCAATTGGAGGTCCGCCATATGCTGCAGTGGAGGAGCAAGTGGAGTGAACGTGCTCGTGGCGTGGGAACACGGAGACCGGACTGGCACGGGACACCCAAGATAAAAGTAAGAAGAAGAGACCTGCTGTAGAGTAGAGAAGGGAAAAGAAAAATCCCGCCTGTGGTGGTTTTGGTTGGTTTGGGTTTTGGTTTGTTGTTTGTTTGTTTTTTTTTTTTTTTTTTTTTTTTTTTTTTGTGTTTTTTTTTGTGTGAAAAAGGGAACACAAAAAAAAAAGATAAGATAAATAAATAAAAATTCGATTGTGTGGTGAGGGAGTCGGGGAGGGAGGTGCAAAAGGTGATGAAAAGAAATAAATAAATAAAGAGTGTGATGATGGATATGGGTATAGATGTAATAAAGGAATGAAAAGAAAGAAATAAATAAAGAAAGAAAAGAAGAAAAGAAAATGGGTTTGTGCAAAAGTAGACAGAGTCGGTGCAATATATTATAATAAACATAAATATATATAGATATATATTAAAATAAAAGAAAGTTGAGTGGGTTGATTAAAAAAAAAGGATTGTGTGTTTGAAAATGAAAAATAAAGAAAAGAAAAGAAAGGGGATCATGTGGTGAAAGAAAAAAGGAGTTGTGGGTTTGAAAAAGTAAAGTGAGAGAGGAATTTCGATGCAAGTTTTCTGACTCTTCTCAAAAACAACACAGCAGTTCCACCCACCTTATTTCACACTTTTCTTTTATATATATATATACTAAAATAATGGACCATCAAACCAAAACCAGAGGTGAAGGCAAAGCCTGTTGTTGAGGAGGTGAAAGATGAAACTACTGAAGCTACAGATGCACCGGCTGATCCTGCCCCAGCAGAACAGGCTCTAGAGGTGAAGACAGAGGCAGCTGAAGCAACGGATGTTGTAACAATGGTGACGATCAAAGCCGTCAAAGCTCGCCAGATCTTCGACAGCCGTGGAAATCCAACCGTCGAAGTTGATGTCATTTGTAATGATGGACCTTTTGCTAGGGCTGCTGTTCCTAGTGGTGCTTCCACAGGTGTTTACGAAGCTTTGGAATTGAGAGATGGGGGTTCAGATTATCTCAGAAAAGGTGTCCTCAAGGCTGTGAATAATGTGAATTCAATCATCGGACCTGCATTGATTGGCAAGGAACCAACAGAACAGACCAAAATCGACAACTACATGGTGCAAGAACTCGATGGGACAGTTAATGAATGGGGCTGGTGCAAATGCTATATTGGCAGTTTCACTTGCTGTATGTAAAGCAGGAGCTATGAAGTGTTGTTGAAGAATCTGCCATGAAAGAAGAAATCGAGGAAATTTGGGTTTGTCCAGCGGGCGGCCAAGGCGAGATTGCCGCCCGCCGGTGAAACGAAATTACTAGATTCTTAACCTTGCTCTGATACCAAGTAAGAAAAATTGATATAGAGAGAAATTGTATGTATTATGATTGATGTTATTGATATATTATTGATATAAATTACAAATGGTGAGGTACTCTTTATATAGGAGATGTAGTAGGTGAAGTGAAGTGGTAGGTGTAGTAGGTGATGGTAGTAGGTGGTGGTAGGTGTAGTAGGTGATGGTAAGATGGTAAGTGTAGTAGGTGTGGTAGTAGGTGTGGTAGATTTTAAATATATTACTTTCTAGTAAGAAAATGAAACTGTCTAAAATGCAGCGATTGTAAGGTAATTCCTGAAGAGAGCCTGACGTCTCAACATAAGATTTTTGTGCTCGATTTATGCTCTAAAGGGCAATACCAAACTCGGAAAGATAGTGGGCGTTGCAGACTAGATAGTGGGACCTAAAAGGGAATAAACTAGACACATTTAAGAATAGAATGGATAAAGAAGGTACTTGGGATTTGGAAGATGATGCTAACACTATGTGGAACTCGATGACCAATTGTATGAAGAGAATCTCAAGGAAAGTTCTTGAAGGGTCGAAAGAAAATAGGCCTAATTTTAGAAAAACTCGGTGGTGGAGAGAGAAGGTCCAAGCAGTAATAAAGACAAAAAAAGAGAGCTTTAAAAAGTGACAGAATGATAGAACCAAGAAAAACCTTAAGCGCCATAGATTGGCCAATAAGGAGGTCAAAAAGTAGTGCGGAAGACTAAGTTGAAAGCCTATGATGACCTATACACTATATTAGATAGTAAGGAATGAGAGAATATACAAGCTTGCTAAGATAAGAGAAAACAAAACAAGAAATTGTAATTAGGTTAAGTATATCAAGGGTGAGGACTTTAAGATGTTAGTGAAGGATGACGAGATTAAGGAGTGGTGGAAGAACTATTTTGAGAAGTTGTTAAATAAGGAACATAGAGGTAGGTCAAAAGGGAAGAAAGTAGGCAGTAATAAGGAAAACCAGGATTATAGATTCTATCGTAAGATTATAGACTTTGAAATGGATTTTGCAATTAAAAGATAAAATCGAACAAGGCTTTAGACTCGATGATATACCTATTGAAGTGTAGAAATATTTGCGTAAGAAAGGAGTTGTTTGGTTGACTAGGTTATTTAGCAAGATTTTGTTAACTAAGAAGATGCCAGAGAACTGGAGGAGGAGTATTTTAGTGCCAATATATAAGAATAAAGGAGATGTCCAGAATTGCAACAATTATAGAGGAATCAATTTAATAGGTCACACAATAAAAAAAAATGTGAGAAAGAGTGATGGAACATCGATTGCAAGATATAACAGAGGTGTCAGAGAATCAATTTGAGTTTATACCTGGTAAGTCAATAATGGAAACAATCTATTTTTTAAGGAGAGTAATAGAAAAGTATAAAGAAAAGAAACGAGACATTCATATGGTTTTTATCGATCTTGAGAAAGCATATGATAGAATGCCTCGGGATATAATCTAGTGAGTGTTAGAGAAGAAAGCAGTGACAAAAGGTTACATTGATTTGATTAGGGATATGTATAAAAGTGTGGTGACCACTATTAGATCGCCTGCGGGAGAAACGAGTAAATTTCCAATTACTATAGAGTTACACCAAGAATCAACCTTAAATCTTTATCTTTTCGCTTTAGTTATGGATTAATTGATGCGCAATATTCAGAATGATGTGTCATGATGTATGCTTTTTTGCAGATGATATCGTGTTAGTGAATGAGACTATAAAAGGAATTAACACTAAGTTGGAGATTTGGAGAAAAGTACTTGAATCTAAAGAATTTAGGATAAGCAGAACTAAGACAGAGTATATGGAGTGTAATTTTAATAACAGTCATAATAGAAGTACAGAAGAAGTGAAGATTGAGAACCAAGAACTACTTAAGAGTGAGTATTTTCGTTATTTAGAATCGATTATCACAACAACTGAGGAGATTAGAGCAGATGTTGTCCACAAAATTAAGACGGAGTGACTTAAGTAGAGGAGTGCTTCTGGAGTACTATGTGATAAACGAATACCCATTAGACTAAAAAAGAAATTCTATAGAACGGCTATTAGACCTGTAATGTTGTATGAGACAGAGTGTTGAGCAACTAAAAAACAACATGTAGATAAGATGAGTGCTGTTGACAAGGGCGAAAGGAAGGAGGGTTGGAGGGGTCCTAGCCCCTACAAACTTTTGAGAATACACTACATATACTAGGCATCTTCTATATATTTTCAAGGCACTGCAGTAAATGGCCCCTCCAAATTTATTTTGGCCATCCAGTCCTTGTCTCTAACTTAAGCCCAAAAGATCTCAACCTTTCATTTTATCTTACTTTTTGTTTTGTATTTCCTAGGTACCTTGTACTCTCAAAGGAGTTTATTAAACAATCTGTAACCTGTTCTCCATGTACTTTTGGAGCAGCTTTAAACCTTTTGATAATAAAATTCATTTCTTGCATTTTAATTAGTTTAGCAATGTTACAAACTCAAAAAAAAAAAAAAAAAAAAAAAAAAAAAAGAAAAGAAAAAAATCAATGGTATATATTCATTGTAAGTATGACTCACATCTCACTAACTTTAAATCTACATCACACATACAAAAATTCAAAATAAATTTTCATGGTTCATAACATCTTTCTTTTCTTTTTTCTTTACCTCTGTCCATTTTCAGTCTTTCCCTTTTCACTCAGCAACACATCTTGATATTGCTATGATTTACATTCATATTTCTTTCATTCATTCATCACTAATTTACATTGTTATTACTTCTTTAAATTTCAAGCCATATGCTATTTATCACCACATTTATTTTAATTTTTTATTTTATTTTCTATGTGTATTTACACAATAAATATCTGTGCATATGTGAGGCATATGATAAAACCCATCATGGCACATGAGAAGTTACATAAAAGTAAAAAATTTTAATAAAACATTTAAGCGATACATACAGCCCGATTAAATTTTATATTAATTTACCATCATTTGATTCAAAATTTATTACATATAAAACAAATCTAACTAAACTCGTATGCCCAGTTAGACTTATCTCGCTACCATTATTTTGGCCCCCCAGTGATCGAACCCTGGCCTCACCCCTAGTTCCTGAGATGAGGATGTTAAGGTGGATGTGTGGCAAGATTAAAAAAAACAGAATTAGGAATGAGTATATTCGAGAATGGTTAAGAATACTACCGATAGAAGATAAATTGAAAGAGAATAGATTGAGATTATTTGGTCATATACAACGGAGACAAATAGAAACAGTAGTGAAGAGATACAATACAATGGCAATAGATAGTAGTGTTTTGGGGAAGGGCTAGACCTAGATTGACGTAGACTACTGTAGTGAATAGAGATAAGAATCTCCTCAATAGGACTAACGAAATAACCTTGGATAGAGTTGAGTGGAGAAGAATGATTCATGCAGCTGACCCCATTTGATGGGACTTATTGGTTTGGTTGCGTCCTTGAAACTATTGTACTATTGGTTGTGTTAGTGATGGTGGGGTGGTGGTGGTGGTGGCGGCAGGGTGGAACATTTGTTTCTGCATTCTATAGAGCATCAAGAGACGTTCCTTGGAAAGTGCTCTACAGATACAAAGGACAAATTTGTGAGGAGCTATTGACTTTTGCCTCTCTAGAAATTGACTCAGAAGATCGTACAGCAGCTGCAATATTTCTTCAATCAACCAAAGTTGTGTTTCCTAGAGTCACATAGGTGGTTGGTTGGGTTAAATAATCCACCTTCACAAAATGCTTAACCTTAATTCTATGAAATTAGCTTGCCATCCTTCAAAATATACAATGTGCAGTGAAAATTCAGGCCTCGTTTGGGAACAGGCTAATTTAGTAACTTTTTGGCTATTTAGCTAAAAAGATAGGTAAAAAAAACTTGTATGTTTGGGATGACTTTTTGGCTAATTACGAAAAGATGTGCAAAAAGTAGAGAGAAAAGAGAATCTTTGACTTTTTGGTATGGGTTGTTGACTTTTTGGCTAATTTAGTAACTTTTTGGCTAATTGGCTAAAATAGCCTCTTACCAAACGAGGCCTCAATGTAGGAACAATGTCATAAGATGGTTTAATGTAATTAGTTTATTTTGGATTATGTTCATGCTATTGTCAAGAAGAGTAACACTTGCTATTGTCAAGAAGAATAATACTTACAGATAGTATCTTGTCACGGGTACCATCCACCTGCATGAAATAAGCCTCGAGCAACATTTCTAGATCTTCCACATCATGGTCATTCAAATGGTTGCTCGACAATAAACTTCCACTCCTGTTAGAACCAAGACGGCGAGGTTGATGTCCGGCACTGACAATGCTGTTAGAAGCTGTACCTGCTAAATAAGCCTCAAATTGCTGACTCTGAATCCATTTCCTTGTTAAGTATAAATGTGCCATGTTTTCGTTGTCATCTAAAAGATGTTCAATTTCATCATGCACCTAACACCAAACAAGCATTTGCTCCACATTAAAAGTAATACAACAAATAAATGAAAAGGCATAGAATCAATCACATGTAAAAACATCAATACACGTTTAGTATAAAGGCTACCTACACATTATCAGTAGATGCTTCCTTAATTTGAACTTTGCAAGGAAATGGCTCAATGGACAATAAATGACAAGAAATAGGTCTCAATTAAGATTGAGAGACTCCAGCTACACCTTCATAATTTTATGACGATTGATGATCCTTCGGTTGCATTTATTGCACAATTTTGATAGATGTGCAAACTACTTGTGGGAATTAGAGCATATCCCGCCAAAAGAAGTCCATGTCTGAACTCTTTGCTATGTTCATGCATGCACAGTTCAGTATTTAGTTCTCTTCAGTATATTTAACTGCTCCTGCATGGAATGGCACCACAAGGGGGCACTGAAATCTATGATAATTAACATGTATTATGAAGCATGCCACTAAATTACAAGACTAGAGCACAAAAAGTGTTTGAGAGTGCAATTAGCCTTGAATCATTAGAAGTCCTAAATTTCCCACTAGCTATTAGCCTCCAACAGCACAAAAGCTGTAAAAACCAGTTTCTAAATTATCTCAACACGCTATTCTACTTCAATGAACCTCTCCTCCCTAAAGGACATCTGATTCATCTTGCCAAATAGCCACTAGAAGGATACACCAAACACATCCATAAATTCTTTACATGCAGATAAACAAAAGAGGGGAAACAAATGCAACAAGACCCAATTGCCACCAATTTGGCCGATGACTGACATCTACACTCTGACTTGGTTTTACACTTCATGCAAAGAAGATACACAATTTAAAATAGACTACTGGGGATACACGGGCTTTCCTCTTTTCGCACGTATAAGTTTTCCACATCAACAAAGTTGATAAAACAAAAATAAATAAATAACTAGCAAGTGCACCAACACCATGAAGTAATCTGTTGTAACTAGTAGAAAAGAGAAATCAATAATGTATACCTTTTGTACCCGTGCAAGTAAACGGGTCAGATTGCTTTTCAAACTCCTCACATGCTCAAGATTCTCGGTGCTAACATTCCTTGCCAGTTCATCCAATGCAGGGTATGCATCTCTCTCAAGGTCTGCTACACTAGAGTCCAAATATGCACAGACAACCTCCAATGCAATCCCGAGAACTTGAAACTCAAATGGGAGGTCACACTGCAAACCTTCAATAGCTTCAGGAACGGGTAACCATTGTCCCCCAGATGATAATTGCATTTCATTATCTTGTACATCCATTTGACCCCCTCCTTGACTTTTGGACACGCTTTTATGAGGAAGTTGTTGCCGCAGCTGATCCACAAACGGACGAACCTCCTGGCGGAGAGGATCAAGCAACAACACTTCGTCAGCTGTAACTATAGCCTTTATAAACTCTAAGTTGACAACCATAGCTTTCTCCCTAGCTGCAGAAGGGAACAATACAAATTCACTCTCATCACAACCAATCATTATATAGAAACGTATGGATCTATGCAGGTATCACTGGCAGCAAATGAAAATTAAATAAATAAATTCCACCCAAATCATTATAACAGAAAAGAGATTCAGGGGCTTCTTGATGAGTTGATGCTGGACTACATGAACAGAAAACAGAGAATCTATTAGGGCATAAAGAAACAAAAACAGATGTGACTAAGGGATTGTTTGGCAACCCCATTAAATGCTTAAATCTAAAAACTTTTAGTGACCTATTAAGTGTTATAGTTAACACGTTCAAACTCAAAATTTTACATCAAAGAGCTTCGACTCATCACTAAAGGATACATGTGATTTTGACTTGTATTTATAATGCATAAACTTAAACTTTCAAAACTTTAGTGCTTATGAATTTTCAGTACTATTAATGAGGTTGAAGAAGACCCTGAAGTGTGAGCTAACACCCTTCCATCCTTGCCTTATTTTCATTTTTAATTTTAGAAAAATCCATATTCGTACTCATTCTCCCCAGAACTCCAACTATAATAAGTAGTCTAAACTCAAACTCATGTATTACCCCACTCATACTCAGCAAAAGCAGCCATATACCCTGATTTTAATGGCTGGCTGTGCTGCATCAATTTTCGCATCAGAGCTCTGCCACAATGCTTCCACATTGTGGAAGATGCTACAAAAGCAGATTGACAGAGTGATTGTGATGTGAGATGAATCACTCATCCAGTTTCCACAACAAGAAGACAGGCAAAACTCAATCCTCAACACCCGTATCACAGGCTGATGATACTTTTGATGGCATGTCGACCAAAATCACGTCAAGGTAAGATTCAAAATTCTTCCAACTTTAGAGTTACAAGACAATTATGAATGAAAAAATAAATAAATAAATAAAATCAATTCAAGGTCATGAAAGGTAGATATTAAAGTCAAAGTATATATATATATTAAGTTTGAGAAAAAAAAATTTGTCAACAAGACCTATTAAGGGCATGTCTCCAATCCCTGAGTCAAACCTATCGAACTTCAATTTGAGTAAAAATCACTCAAAAAATCCTCCACTCCTTGACCCAAACTTAGACCAAAATCAATGGGAAACTTAGTCAAGTGTATTTTGTGGGTCCTAAATTTACCACTTCGAAGCTTGTACTAAAATTTATTGTTCCATATTAATTGTTCATATCAAAGTAAAGAAATTAGAGTAAAGTTTAGAGTTGTGAATGAGAGAATGTGTTAACCTAGAAGATGAAGGACTGAAAATGATTACCAAGGATATTGGAGGAGTGAGAGAAGAAAGGGCCAAGGATCCTCAAATCCCTAACAGGAATAGAGACGCGCTTGATGATTGTGCTCCTGTCGCACTCGATGAGCTCCGATTGCCCAAACTTATCCAACCTCATCCACAGCCTCGCCCCTCCTGCCTTCTTCTTCGTCTTGCTCGACGACCCAGCCACCATCGCCGACATCGACTTATTATTCGGCGACGGAGGCGCCGTCGCCGCCGTCTGACTCGACTTCTTAGGGCGGCGACGGCTCATCTTCCGGCCAAAACAGAATGGCCCCTTCCCCATTCTCTCTCTCTCTCTCTCTCTAATGCCTCCCTCCTGCTGTTTTTGGATTTTGACTTTCTCACTCTAGATTTGTGTCTATGTCTCTCTCTTTCTGTCTAGACCATGCTTGCTTTAAACTGTCTTCTTCTCCTTCTTCCTCTCCCGCCATAGAAAAGCCTTCTCCGGATTGTTTTTGTTTTTATTTTTGTTTTTTAACTTTCAGGTTTCAGGCGTGGAGGGAGCCGTCAGCTGTGTAGGTCAAAGCTTGGATCCCTTTTATTAATTAATTCAAAATTATGGGGCGGGAAAAAAAACACTTAAACTTGCATAGTTTGGATTTTTAAGGTTCATTTTTTAGAAAACTAAAAAAAAAATGATATATTTTTTGGGTAAATTACATTTACCTCTCCTGAAGTTTCTGATAAATACAGGGACCTCCCCTGTGGTTTGAATAATTACAGTAACCTCCCCTACTTTACCTGATAATATCAAGATTCCCCTGCTGTCAAAAATCACTAAACGGTGTCACTTTTTCCTTCGAAAATTACTTTATTGCCCTTCCCTTTAAAAATATTAAAAAATATTTTTGAATTAGAGGATAAGTTTAGAGTGTTTGGAACAATATTTTTAAATTTATTTTTTAAAAATATTAAAAAATGTTTTTAAAAAATTATTTTTTATTTTAAATATATAATTTTTATTTAAATATTTTATTTTATTTTGTAAATATTTTAATTTTTTAATTTTAATATTTTAAACTCAAAACACAATTTCACACTCAAATCGTAACCAAACACATAACTTACACTCCACATACTTTCAACTCTACATTCAATCGTTGGAACCAAACGATACAAGACAAAACTAGAAATAATTAAAATATATTTATAAAATAAAATAAAGATATTTAAAATAAAACTATATATTTAAAATTAAAAATATAAGAATTTTAAATATTTTTTAATATTTAAAAAATATAATTTATAATATTAAAAAAAGATCGAACAGCATTAGATGTGATGGAAATATAATGGGCACATTAAAATAAATAAATAAATATTTAAAAATATAAATTATGTGATGCCTAAAAAAGATAAATCAAAAATTTCAAAAGTTTATAACTCAAAACAAATTTGTTTTTTTTCAAAACTCATAACTCAAAATACGACTGCAACTCAAATCGATGATTCAAAAAGTAATTTTAAAAAATAAAATACAACTTTTTTTGAATTTTTTTTTCTTACAAATAGAGTTTTTGAAAAAGTTTGGTTTTGGAGTTTTGGAAAGAGTTTTGGTTGAAAAAAGTTTGAATTGAGTTTTAAGTTTGTGTTTGGTTAATGAGTTTTGAAAATAATTTTGAAATTGGTTTTTGAGTAATAAAATGTTCCGAATTTTATTTTTTTAGAAACATGTTTGGTTCTCTTTTAGAATCACATATCCAATAACAAATTTTTCAAAAAAAAATTTAAAACTCATAGTGTTAACCAAATACACAATTCTAATTAGAAATTTTAAAAATCTTTTCAAAACTCATAGAATCACATTTCAAATAGAAAATGCCTCTGTTTGGCAGTTAGTTTTCAGGCTTTTTTGGTATTTTAGCCACAAAAAACAAATAGGCTATTTAGCCATAACAAACAAACATCACATCCAACCCATAATTATTCATTTCTTCTCTCAAAAAAAGTCAAAAAAGTCAAAAGCCCTTCCCAAACCAAGCTTTTTAGCCCAGGCTAAAATAGTCAAAAAAACCAAAAAGCCAAACCCACTTCCCAAACCAAGAATTTACTTTTTAGGGTAATATTTTATATTTTTAAATATTTATTTATTTATTTAATGTGCATTATATTTCATACATCTATGTGTTGCATTTTTTTATGATATTTAAATATATTTTTTAAATATTAAAAACTTAAAATTTTATTTTATTTTAAATATATAGTTTTATTTTAAAGATTTTATTTTATTTATAAATATATTTTTAAATATTTTATTTTTTGTTATGCGTTTGATTTACGATTTAAATGTAAAGTTTTAAAAATAGTGTGGATGTCGAGTTTGTGTTTGGTTATGAGGTTTGAAAATAATTTTTGAATTGAGTTTTGAGTTATGTGTTTGATTACGATTTGAGTGTGAAATTGTGTTTTGAGTTTAAAATATTAAAATATTTACAAAATAAAATAAAATATTTAAATAAAAATTATATACTTAAAATAAAAAATAATTTTTTTTAAAACATTTTTTAATATTTAAAAAAAATAAATCCAAAAATACTGTTTCAAACACTCCAAACCTATCCTCCAATCCAAAAACATTTTTTAATATTTTCAAGGGATGGGCAATAAGGTAATTTCCTAAGGAAAAAGTAACACCATTTAGGTATTTTTGACAGCAGGGGGGAATCTTGATATTGTCAGGTAAAGCAGGGGAGGTTACTGTAATTATTCAAACCACAGGGGAGGTCCCTGTATTTGTCAGAAACCTCAGGGGAGGTAAATATAATTTACCCATATTTTTTTATTTTGTTGATTTTTTTTAATATTTTAAGTAATTTTTTTAATTTTTAAATACATTTAATATAAATACACTTAAAAGTTTTGCGAAAAAAATCTTTACAAAATTAACTAAATATCAAAGATATATAAAAATACTAGAATTCAATACATTTTTCATATTATTGTATATTTATTAATTTTTTATAAATATTTTATTTTTTACATACATTAAGTAAGGTGTACCTAAAAAAATAAATAAATACATTACTTAAAATTTTAAAAATATTCACAAAAACAAATATGAAAAATAAAAAAACTTATGTTGCGTTTGGTAGAGTTTTGTAAATATGATTTGAGAGTATGAATTGTATTTTGAGTTTGTGAGTTGTGGAATTATGATTTGAGTGTGGAAAATTTGTTTGGTTATGGTTTTTGAGTAGAGTGGGTGTTTGGGAAGTGAGTTTTTAGGTTTTTTTAGTTGTAGGATATTATTGGAAAAAAAAAAATTTTGGGCTCGTTTGGTTTGATTTTCTGAAAAAAATTTGGGAAATTTTCTCTACAAATAAGTTTTCAAAAATAACCAAACCAAACAAATTTTTCCAAAAAAATTTCCCAAAACTTGTAAACCAAACAAGTTTTCCAAACAAATCTCTCTCTCACACACATCAAATCAATCACTTTTTCCAAAACTCTATCTCAAAATAATTTTCCAAAACATCTTTTAAAAAAAACCAAACCAAACATGTTTTCGTACTTTTTATCTCTAAAACACATCTCTCAAACACAAACCAAACATATCCTTTGTGTTTGAGAAGATAGTTGGGCTTTTTTGTGGTTGGATGTGATGTTTGTGAGAGAAAAAGTGAAATGATTATGGGGTTGGATGTGATATTTTATTTGGATATATTTTTTTTGATTTTGCAAAAAGTTTGTCTTTTTGTGAAAAAAAAAAAAAACCAAGTTCAAGACTTCCCAAACACCACAAGAGTGTTGAATTGAGCGTGGAATTGAGTTTTGAAAATTTGATTTAACATGTGAAGTAAGAAAATTTGTTTGGTTATGAGGTTTGGAAAGAATTTTCAAAACTTAATTTAAATTGTTATAACTCATAACAAAACACACTACTTTCACATTATTGAAAATTCTGATCAACACTCATAACTAAACTCTTTTTAAAATTCAATTAAAAAATTATTATTAACAGAAAATAACATTAATCAATTTTTTTAATTGAAAATACTACAAAAGAAATAAAAAAAATTTCAAAATAAATATTCAAAAATTTTAAATCATAAATATTTAAATAATCTAAAAATTTTAATAAGTAAAAAATTAAAATAAATATTCAAAAAATTTAAATTGTAAAAATTTAAATAATTTAAATATTCAAAAAAATTAAATAATTTAAAATGTTAAAATATTTAAAAATATTCAAAAAATTAAAAAATTAAAAAAATCGTAACATATTTAAATACTAAAATATTTAAAATCTTAATAAAATTAAAATATTGATTTGAATTGAGTTTTGAAAATGAATTATGTGTTTTGAAAAGTAATGATTATGCTTTGAATTGAGTTTTGAGAAATGAGTGTAAAATTATTATTTGCAAGCTTAAAACAAACAGCACACTCAAATCAATAGTTGGAACTATAATTTGAATTGCTTACCAAACGAAGCCTTAATTTCTAGAAAATTAAATTCAGAAAATTGAAACCAAACACACTAAGGCCTCGTTTGAGGAGTGGCTATTTTAGTCAAAAAGTCAAAAAGTTACTAAAAGTTGTCACATTACCTCTCTATTTTTCTGCATATCTTTTTGTAAAAAGCCAAAAAATTACTAAAATAACATATTCCCAAACGAGGCCTAATTATTATTTTTTATTAGAATCCTTTACACTCACCACTCCAAAATTTAAAAATATATAATTAATTTTATATTTTTATTACATAATATTTTATTATTTTTCAATAGCAATTATTATTCTTATGAATGAAAAATAATATCATCATATACAACAATAAGACGGATCTAGACTTAATTACCTAAAAATTATTCAGAATTATCATCTTGTGATTCAAATTTATTATACATATGAATCTCATACTACACAAATTTTATCTACACCACACAATTCCTTACCCAAAAAAATCTGGGGCGAGTTTGGGTTCGCAGACTTTTTCTATCATATATTTTCAATAAATACATATTTATTTAATTCAATATCAATCTACCATCTACTCTTTAATTATGTCAAAAATATAGGATTAATTGTATTCTTTCTAGATAAAATTGTTAAAAGTCCATTCAAACAATTACCTAAGGCATTAGGTCTAATGGATTTTATTAGTGAAAAGTACACACTTTGTTTTTAAGGACATTTGTTTCCAATTTTACCCTTTTATCTGTTGAAAAAAAATTATATCTCTTAAATTTGTTTTTCTATCTGCTAAAAATATATTTGTATGAAATTATATCTATTGAAATTCTTGTCCTATTTTTATTTTATATGTTCAAATTTATATTTATCTGTTGAAATTTAGTAAGCCAATTTTCACTGTCTGTTAAATTTATTTGTTTGTTCTAAATTTTATTTTTTATATATGTTGAAATATAAGCCAAACCAACCCTATTTGTTGAGCCAAAATCAACCCTATCAGTTGCAATACCAAGCTAAATCAAACCTTATTTGTTCACTTTCGTCATCATCAACAACAATAACAACAAATAGAGGAA